GTGTTTTGGAGTTTGTACGTGTTTTTTAGTTTGCATGTGTTTTGGAGTTTGTACGTGTTTTGGAGTTTGCATGTGTTTTTTAGTTTGCATGTGTTTTGGAGTTTGCATGTGCTTTGGAGTTTGCATGTGCTTTGGAGTTTGTACGTGGTTTGTCTCTAGGGGCCACCGTAGGAAGCAATCTGTTAATGTTACGTAGATGGAAGTAGGCAGAACGGGTGAGATTATTGATGTGAGATTTATAGGAAAGTGAACTGTCTAGGATGACACCAAGGCTCTTAACCTGAGGAGAAGGGAAAACTGTGGAGTTATCGATGGTGAGTGAGAAATGGTTTGCCTTCAAAAGGTTGGATTTGGTGCCAATAAGGAGGATCTCAGTTTTATCCTCGTTGAGCTTTAGAAAATTAGAGCTAAACCAGGATTTTAACTCGGATAGACATTCTGTAAGGGAAGAAGGTGGGAGGGAGGAATCAGGTTTGCAAGAGAGATATAACTGGGTGTCATCAGCAAAACAGTGAAACTGAAGATCAAATTTGCGGAAGATGGTACCTAGAGGGAGGATGTATATTATAAAGAGAAGAGGGCCTAAAACTGAGCCTTGGGGTACACCAGAGGTGACGGGGGTTACTGGGTTTAACCTGGGATTATACTGGTTTAAACAGTAAGAATAAGAATGTTTTATTGTCATTATGCCAAAAGCACAACTGAATTATTTGCTGTACCATTCAGTGAAAAGGAAACCAGAAAAAGGAAAGAAAGCAAAACTGTTTCTAAACTGGAATACTGGATGGGGTTGTTTGTAGTTTGATCACTGGTGCAGGTTTGGTGGTGGTTAGAGGAAACATTTTTAGGATAGCTACCTTGTTGACTCCAGTCTGAAGTTTGTGACAGGTGAATGTTACCTGCTTTACCTTGTGCAGCATTACCTGACGTGCTTCAGTGGTACAGTGGCTGTGCCGTTTCTTCTGGCTGAGGCCATGTGTGTTGGTGGAGACCAAAACACCATCAGTCAGCTGATTGGAACCATTTTCACTACTGTTGGCATCACGACTCTCATCCAGACCACCGTGGGTGTCAGGTGAGTCTGAGGGAGTCAGGTAAGACTTAAGGAGTCAGGCGAGTGGGCGGAGTCTGACAGTTATGTGTGTTTGTGTGTAGACTTCCTCTCTTTCAGGCAAGTGCGTTTGCGTTCCTCATTCCTGCTCAGGCAATCCTCAGTCTGGACAGGTGGAGGTGTCCCAGTGAAGGTGGAAGTCTCTCTGATTGTTACTGGTTTTTGTAAATAAACAACATGCTCTCATGTGATTTGTTTTTTCCTCTACAGAGGAGATTTATGGGAACTGGAGTCTTCCCCTGAACACCTCACACATCTGGAAGCCTCGAATCAGAGAGGTACGATCACTGCTCCTCAGCAGGTAGTTTCCAGTGGGTCCAGGTGGGTTCAAGTGGGCACAGTGGGTTGAGGACGGTGAGAGGCCAGACCTAAACCTGAACTGGTTCCTGGAAGACACCAGCAGTCTGGACAGTGCTGGTCTGTCAGAATCCTGTGAACTTCCAGCTCAGAGAAAGTTTCTGATTTTGGCTAAAGTCAGACCCCTGAATCAGGTGGAACCTTGTTCAGGAGGACTCTGCACTTGGTCTTGGACCATTTCTACAAATCCAGGATGTATTTTACTTCACAGGCTTCGCTATGAAATTAAAGCACTTTAATTCCTGAGAACCCAGAGCCACACCTGCAGGTACCACCTGTTTCAGAGTCCTCTAGGACTCATCAGTAGCAGCACCTCGTGGTTGGATCCAAGTTGTCATGTCTGTGGAGTGGATTTTTTTTGTTTACTTGCTTTATGACAGAGTTATTTGTTCGCAGATTCAGGGTGCCATCATTATGTCCAGCCTGGTGGAGCTCGTGATTGGTCTGTGTGGGTTACCTGGGTTACTGCTGGAGTACATCGGCCCGCTCACCATCACGCCGACCATCTCACTGATCGGCCTCTCAGTCTTCACAACTGCTGGAGACCGAGCTGGGTCCCACTGGGGCCTCTCAGCACTGTGAGATATGTGGACACGCCTGTTTCTGTTCTGCTGTAGTGAACTACATATCCATGAATATAGCACACTGGGGGGACAAACAGTTGTCTCTCTCTCTCTCTGCAGGTGTATTTTGCTGATGGTGCTGTTTGCTCAGTACCTAAGGGCGACATCACTTCCTGTTCCTGTGTATAGCAGGAAGAAAGGCCTGAGGGCCACCAGAGTGCAGATCTTCAAGATGTTTCCTGTAAATAAAGATAAACACAAATCGATGATGATGTCAGTGATGATGTAATTTGAATCTTTGCTCCGCCCTCTTTCAGATCATCCTTGCCATCATGTTGGTGTGGTTCGTCTGTTATGTCCTCACTCTGACCGACCTGTTGCCAAGAGACCCTGATCGCTATGGACACAAAGGTCGCACTGATGCCCGAGGGGACATCATGACACTGTCGCCCTGGTTCAGGATGCCTTACCCATGTAAGGCACCAACCAATGACAGTCATGCTTTGTATCCAGGTGGTTTGAGGTTTGAATGACACCGTGTCACCGTTACGAGGTTGTTTCAGCGCCGACTGTGAGTTGGTGGTGAGGTGGATCACTTCAGTTTCTCTGAGGTTCTGATCCACAGTCACTGTGTTACCTGCAGCAGGTAGCACTAGGCCCCGCCCCTGCCGTGTGGGTCCATGTTGATGCCATATTTAAAAGAAATTTTCTACTGATAAGTCACTGAAAGTCTGTTACTTCTCACAGCAGGAACGCCAGTTTCTACTGCTTCGATTGGTTAGTCGGTTTGACCTTAAACAAAAACGTCGACATAAACACATAAAAACTGTAAAATCACTGAGTCAGTGATTCAGGGCCTAGAGCAAGGGGGTGGAGCTCTCAGAGGGGGTGTGGTCACTTTATGAACTTTGTGTAACTTCAGACTTCATGTGTACATTCTGGGATCAAATCTGATCCGAAGGTGTGTTTTTAACGCTAAGCTGAGCATCAGTGAATGAAGGATCATGATGATCACATGACATTCTCTGACTTCCTGTCTCTCTCTGATAGGCCAGTGGGGGTTGCCTGTGATAACGGTTGCTGGGGTGTTGGGCATGCTGAGTGCGACGATGGCGGGCATCGTGGAGTCAATCGGAGATTACTATGCTTGTGCTCGCCTGTCTGGAGCCACGCCCCCTCCGATCCATGCAATCAACAGGTGAGAGAGGAACACACCTTATGAGACAGACTCCATCCCCAAACAGGTGTTGATCATGTCTGTTTTAAATTTGTTTTCAGGGGGATTTTCATAGAGGGCGTGTGCTGCATCATTGCAGGTCTGTTGGGGACAGGAAACGGCTCCACCTCCTCCAGTCCAAATATAGGTGTCCTCGGCATCACCAAGGTAGCCACACACCCTGAAAGGGTGTGTTCATGTCCTCAGGTGTAATTTCACGTGTTAACTTGTGCTTAATTTGTGAGTGTATGATCCGTTCACCTGTATGCAGGTGGGTAGCAGGCGGGTGGTGCAGTACGGTGCCGGCATCATGTTTGTCCTGGGAACCGTCGGCAAGTTCACAGCTCTGTTTGCCTCGCTGCCCGACCCGATCCTGGGAGGAATGTTCTGCACGCTCTTCGGTAAGTCTCCGGTAACAGGTGTATATTCAGGTGTGGTACTGCTGCCCTAAACCATATGTGTCTCTCAGGTATGATAACAGCTGTCGGCCTGTCAAACCTGCAGCTGGTCGATTTAAACTCGTCCAGAAATCTGTTTGTTCTTGGGTTCTCCATGTTCTTTGGTCTGACACTGCCGACGTACCTGGACACGCATCCCAACTCCATTCAGACAGGTGAGTCCCTGTTTACCTGTGCCACGGCTGTCCTCCTAAATAACCCTAACACCACAGGAACAGAGCAGGATATCTTCTGGTTGCCTTCATTCACTCATCCTAACATCAGCAATTATCTGAAGGTGGTGATGCAATTAAATTTAAGAGACGTCCGGCAGAACCAGAGTAAGAGAGCCCGAGATGAATACTAACTAATTGTCACGGCTGGGGCAGCAGTCGTGTGGTGAGGACCCAAGTTGCAGACAGCGGTGACGCGTTCTCTCATTTCTAACACAGTTTAAAGCTCAGGTTAAATTTGTACGTCAGACAGTCTCATATGGATCACACCTTAGATCACACCATCTAAGGAAAACAAACCGTCATTCGTTGGTTGAATTAATTTATTGTACATTTCACTGCTTCATCATTCCCAAGCAAATACGAGAAGTTCCTCCACAGCATCAAGTTACCAACATGACTTCCTGTGATCAATAATGCCATGAATCAACAGCAGAACGTCAACATTTATGCAGATGATGTTCTATTTAATTTACGTGCACGACCAGAGACATCAACACCTGCTTTACGAGATCAAATAAACTTCCCGATGATGCTCAGCATTCTTATCAGTAATTACTTCCTCCTCGGTAGCTCCACCTGTAAATGTTAGTCCACCTATTTCAGCCATGCTGTGAGTCGCTCTAATAAATATTAAACTCTCACACTGTGGCTGAATGTTTCCCCTGTCTGTGCTCACCTGTCTGTGCTCACCTGTCTGTGCTCACCTGTCTGTGCTCACCTGTCTGTGCTCACCTGTCTCCGTGGTGAATCTCTGCACCAGTTAAGATTTTTGTTTCTGGTGTTTCAGGTCTTTCTGAGCTGGATCAGATCCTCACCGTTCTTCTCTCCACTGAGATGTTTGTTGGAGGTTTTCTGGCGTTCTGTCTTGATAACACAATCCCCGGTAACACACACACACACACACACACACACACACACACACACACAC